GAGGGACTGTCGGTCGTCTGCGACGTCCAAGCTACGTGCATTCGGACTGATCAAGCAGTTCCAAGAAAAATTGCCGCAGTTGTTTCGAAAAGAACCATGATGAAGGCTTCAGGGTAGAAACGCTGAAGAGCAAAATACACCAATGCCGGCCTCCCGCCTAAGTTCTGCCTGGAGCATCCTGTTTTCGCATGTTTTGCCTACTGAGAAGATCCTAGACCGTCTTCGGAGGTTGCGGCACTGAACCCAAAGCGGGGAGGAATGAAAAAGCAGGTGCAACATCCATGGTGCAACATGGTGCAATTCCATCCATGTCCATCTGAAGGCATCCCCAAAAAACAAACCAGTGCAACATCTTGGTTCCTATGTTCAGATCACCCGGCGTGATGGCGTTTCAATGACCTGGGTCTCGTTCTTCGCTGGGTATATCCCAATACTCAGGGCCCAGTGAATGATGATTAGCAAAGGCCGACATCTCAAAATAAACAATAGTGATATATAATATATATATATAATCTTATACATGTTTTTACCGACTGGTACTGGTCACGGGATACACCCTAGTCCTTCGTGGTATCAGTATATAATATATTCATCAATGACCGTACGCACCAGGAATCTTACGGGACATCTTGGGAAAGTCATGCCCTAGCACTCCAAGTACCTCCTCAGAAGGCAATTGGACCCTCCAAACCCACCCCAAACACCTTCTCAAAAGGCTCTTGGAGCCCTAGGGCCGCATGATCCTCTTGGGCTGCTTCCCTCTTGCGTCCTTCCCCTATTCACAATCCCTGCAACTATCGATGCGATCACCACTCCAAACCCCGCCCCAGCCCGCTCGCGTGGCACAAGAGTAGGATGCCAAAGGCCAAAAACATCGCAATGGCGTAAAAGAAGTAGAGCAACTGCCACGCGACGGGCGACGGCTCCGCGCGCCGTGCGACACCGCCACGCGGGTTTCACAACTTCGCCTCACCCGTCCACCCAGAGTGTCCCGTCGCTGTCCGAACAACGGCGATGGATGAGGAAGAGCCCGTCATCTGCAGAGTTCGGATGGGTGATGGGTTGGGCCCCCAGGAGCCCCGAAGGAGTTTGAGGGACCTGTGGAGATTCAATTGATTGTTATAAAATATATATATATATAGTTAATGGATATATTATATATCTATGGTTATATATATATATATGTGTGTGTTATGAATCTCTGGCCTTGCATGATCAAGAACAAGGGTCGACCTTGTTCATCACAAAATTGAGTGGATAGTGTTCGTTGAAGACGATTGAATCAATGGCTGGAATTCAATGGACATACCCCAAGCATCCTGGTCCAGCTTGCTCGAGTCTCAGCAAAGTATTGCCCAACACTTGTCTCAATGCTGAAGCACATTCGGGTGAGATATTCAATATGGCCCCAACCAAATGGGTTTTGGTATGTTTTGCTCTATTTCCCTTCTTCCAGGGTGTCTTTGAGAGGTCTCCCTATTTTAATACACCGATTCTGAGAAGGAAGAATCAGCAAAAATCAAAGGCGCTCCTCTTCGAAGTGAACCCTGAATCTCTTCCAAAACATGCGCCTCTCCCCCATGGGCCATCAGGAATGGTCGTAGTGCCTCAGGAATGCAACGAATGAGTCGAAGGTGGGCGACATCCTGTGGAAGCAGAACCGCAAGTATGCAGCAAGTACTCAGGGAAAACAAAAGAAGTACTCCTCGCTAGCAGCCTTGCAGGGCCTTGATACACAAACTAATGTATACTAAGGAAACTGTCGATAAACCACTTTTCGCACGAATCTTTTTGCCTGTAGTTCACTTATATTCCTAGCTGCAGTCACCGGACAGAAGTCACCAGGGCATCTCCTTTGCATCAGTCGCCTACGAGTATGGCACTGGAGGAGTCTGGAGGACTGATCAGGTCAGAACGCAGGACTCGGTCAGGTCTGTGACTCGATGCTTCTGACCAAGGTGACGATTAATGGCGGTTCATGTTCAGGTGGGCATATAAAGGCAAAAATATGTATATATATATAGACGTGTGTTGTATACTTATATTTCTATGTATAGTCTATAGAAATATACTATATATAGGCACATGTTACCGCTGTTTTGATGGACAATGACCATATCTTGGGTGGTTGGTGGTCGAAAATAGAGGTCACTCAGGTTCTAGGTGTTCGACATAAACACAAATACATATTTTTTGAGGGATGCTCGTGTGCAGGGCTGCTGCTTTCTTCTGGGTCTAAGATTCTGGTGCGGAGGTTCCTAGGTCCCATGCTCGCTTCAAGCACACCACTTGTTAGATGGGTTTGTCCACCGCTTCAACCACCAATGGAAAGGTTTGAATCCCAACCCTTCATTGTTGAACGTTGGCCTGGGATATTTTTGAGCTACAGAACCAGATCAACTTTCCTCTTGTAAGGCCAGGTGTTTCTAAGGATTGGCCGCGCAAACAAGGAATGCTGCTCACAGGATGGTTTTATCTATGGTGCTGCCCCACGTCTTGACGTCTTAGATCACAACGCTTCCAACCTAATTATACGTTTGTGTCTGTAGAATTATGTGTCTATATCATGTACGGTCGGGGACTGCGCTAAGAAGTTTTATAGAACAAGGAATTAGACTCTAGTTGTGAGGAAGAATACGTTATTTTAGATTATAAATCTTAATAGACAGTATACACTAAACTACTACCAAACTGCTTGAAAACAGCTTTGCAATAGGCACGGGCCCTTTCCCAGCATCATCACCAGCCAGACCGCCCTGGGGCCTCATGCTCAGCTCACTAGAACAAAAAGTAATGAAAAATGCGCCAGGGGGCTTAGCTGCTGGTGTGGTTGGTTCTGTGCCTGCCCCTTTGGGCTGAGTGCGACCAAGGATTTAGTTGCTGTGGTTGGCTTGGGCCTGCATCTTTGAGCCGGGCGCGACCAGGGATTTACTTGCTGTGGTTGGTTCTGGGCCTGCCTCTTTGGGCTGGTTGCGACCAAGGATTTAGAATTTAGTTGCTGTGGTTGGCTCTGGGCCTGCCAATGCCAAACAAATAAGCGCCGGCACGCTATAGAACTTACAGCCCGCAAGGGCGCGCGACCATATATGTTTGAATGAAAAGAAGCAACCTTTGGGTAGTCTGCTGTAAGCGCATCTCCGGCTCTTGCAGGGCAGAATCTCCAACTGCGAACAACTGCAACTTCCACCCAGCCCCCCCCACGTCTGCTGCGACATGAAGCGTTCTAGTGGTTGTGCGTTTCTGCTATGGAAAACGGGCTCCATAAAGGGTTTGAAACTGTTTGAAAACAGGTTTAAAATAGAGCGAAGACCCCTCAAATAGAGCGAAGACCCCTCATTCAGAGTATTGCCCTCTCCTGAACAAACCCTAGATTAAGAAACCCAACGTCAGATTCTGAGCATCAAATTTCTTGTTCAAACACTTGGGATCAATAAATATGCTAGACTCTATCGACAAAATAGGGATTTCTTATCACAAGCCTCAACCGTACACAGCTATATGTGAAGTGATGTGCATCAAACATCGTCTCCAGCCAATGTTTCAGGCTCTGGGTTCCCCGTGCCAGCTTTGGATCAGCCTTGATCGACCGGAACGACGGAGCAGCGCCATGAAAGCGGCCATCTCTCAGTGGAGCAGCTCTTGGACAGACTCCTGGTATATAAATTCAAGAGATATATGACTACCAGGCCCACTAAGGGGTGGTTAATGGACACCCCTTAACATCTAAGGGGCTATCAGTAGAAACCCCTTGGGGGGTCCTGGTATATACCAGGAATGATTATTCCTGGTATATTTTATATAACTATATATATATATAATACTGAGCATTATAGATGAGAACACAGTCAAATCTGGAACATGGTTAAAAAAAAATGTGAATTACTGCTTACAGTATCCTTGATTGTTCTTAATCGAAAGACATACTAACCTGGACCATCCTGTCTGGGTGTCCTGTCTGGATTTCCCTACACTATTTAGGGATCTACTGCCACGACACGCATTGCATGGTCCATTCAATATATGACAAAAACACACTCAAATCATACACACATGAATCATGACGATTGGGGGGGATCCTGGGGATCTGGGGGGATCATGGGGATCTGCCTCTTCAGCATACCGGCATGACAAGGACGAGGTCTCTTGCTGGTGGGCTCGGGCCCCAGGAGATCTGCAGTACGAGCTTTGTTGGCATGAAATTTAGTGACGTCCCAACCCGCGGGGAGCATTGGACCGAACAGGAACTGGGCTACTTGCTAACTATGGTCGTACGAACAACTTGTTATATACAAATACATGTACTCCCCTGGTACCTGATATAAATATAAATAATATAAATATTATGTTGGCGAGAAATGGAAGTAATTTGCACAACTACCACAGGGGTAGGTACCACACATATGCAAATCACAGAATATGTTCAACAATTTTCAGCATCATTTTCAGAATCAAATCGTCTTGGATCATGCCTCTGCATCAAATCAATAACCACAATCGAAAGCATTGTTCATACAGGGTCCGTGTGAGTTTCTAGGCGTGTATTCTGTGTAGCCTTTGTCTCTTCACTACTGGCAGCCATACTGGACCCTGGTGGGTTCCCTATTGAATGGACATCAAAGGCGTTGTTGGTTGGTGTTTCCCGAGCTCCTCGCAGTCGTGTGCCGTGTGCCCACAACCCATGGTCAAATAATTTGTAGGGATTTCTGTGTCAAACAACTGGTCCACTTGCTAAGTGTGGTGCTACCACTTAGTACATATAAGTCGATTGATGTATACGGAACGCATGGAGCAAGGTAGCAATGGCTCAAGGCTAGCCAAGGACTCAGTAAAATGAGCCTATGCATGGAAGACTCTGCAAGACTTGGCCTCCATGTTCCATTCAATATATAATAAGCCAGTTTTGGGCCATTCATTTCCATGATCCTCACCCGCCGTCCTTATAATACCTATAAACATCCTAGACTCACTACCTGCAACATCCCTCCACATGAACTCAGCAGTTCTTTCTACGTCGTGCAGGTGAGAAAAACGCACGGCTGATGCACAGCCGAGGTAAGGTTTAGGGGCACATGCTGCACAAGTATGCATCAAACTTTGGAGTGCTGCTCTCGGATGCCAAGGCTGCCAAGGCATCCATCCGAAAAGCATTCGGCTGGACAAAATCTAAAGCAAACACCGTTCAGTGCAGAAAGCATTCTCCTCATAAGAACACCATCTGATTTGAGGAAACATCACGCTATCCTTCGATCAAGCAATGATTCAGAAAAGCATTCAACTGCTTCAGTCAAGCAGTTCAGGACACATCCCCCCCATGAGAATGTTCTCCTTCGATTGTGCTAAACACAACCAGGTCAAACCCACACAAACTCCACACTATCCTCATCCGTTGCCATATCAATCTCATCCACCTTCTTCTTGGCCAAACAGCTCCGTTGTGGCACTGGTGCTTCGGAACTACTGGCCGCGGAGGCCGTGCTGCGTAGAGAGAAAAAGCTCCTCAAACCGCTCAAGGCACTTCCAGCGCTTCTAGAGGTCTGGGAACGCTCCGTGGCACCTGCAAGCGTTGGGTAAACGTTTGGGCTTCTGAAATGCACTGCAGAATGCATCTGGGCCCCTATTATTTTTCATAGCCCGGTCTGTGCCAGTTCCGAAGTGGACTTCGTGACTTGGTGACTTCGGTCAAACGAATCAAAGCAACAATTGAACCAATCAACGTCAAACTGTGCCCCTGCACAATGCAAAAAACACACATGAACTGCCGGCACAGTCCATGAACTGCCCATGGGGGCCCGGTCACCCGAAAAGGCCCGGTCGCCCGAAAAGGACCGGTCAGAATCTGAGAGCCAGGCCGGCCTGGTCGCAGTTGCTTAAAGGGATCTATAATCTATATAGGGATCTATTAGCGCATTTGCTTAATATGAAGGTTCAGGCCTACGAAACCCAAACAACCCGAAATGAATGGATGTTTCCACAAACAACCACTTGCTGTGTAAAGGATCTCAATTGCCATATTGAAACATCCACTTGTTTCTGGTTGTTTGGGGTTCCAGGTAGGGAGTCTGTTACTTTCTTCGCTATTCAGCTACCTCTCTGATTTTCACATGTCTTCACCTACCATTGCTCGGCAGATTGCTCGGCAGGGTACGTAGAAATGATGAGTTCGGACCCACACGTGCACCGATACTCTGCTTATTCAACCCATTGGAACACCGGTTTAGGATTCACGACCCGACAACCACCCAGGAACAAGTGGGTTATCGTCGAAATCTTCTGAACCAAATAAACGCCTTATGTGGTCATTGGATCATATCGACCAACATGGGCACCATGCAATGTACCTGTTCGATTGGCTTGAATCTTGACGGGTGCCAAGTAGAAAACATGGAGATCCATGGTGGAGAGTTAAGTTAAATGGAGGCGGAAAACTATGTCAGTAAGAGAAACTCTTTCAACGGGTTGTTTTCAGGTCCTGGTGCTTCTTTAAAATTGGCTTTGGATGCTGGCCTGACATCTTCAACAAGCTCATCATCCTCTCATCACCTAGTTCTTCGGCAACATCCAAAGGATATAGCTGTTTCACACGAACATGCTGAAAGACATCACTGGTATCGCGCAAGCTATTCACCCCCGGAAAGGCGTGGCGCTCCAGGAATGCATTCACCTCCTCTTTCCTTTTCGCCACTGCTTTGGGCGTCTCCACATCGAAGTTCGAATAGCTCATCGGCATGACAAGGACAAGGTCTCTTGCTGGTGGGGTGCAATACATGCTCGAGCCCCAGGAGATCTGCAGTACAAGCTGTGTTGGCATTCATGGTGACGTCCAAATGCGGGGAATACTGGACCGAACAGGAACCGGGTTACTTGCTCACTATGGCCAAACACAACCAATGGGACTGGCATAGTTTACATTGAGCCGCTCGAGCCTTGAAACCATCCCAATGTAGGTAATTAGATGTAATTAGGTTCTGCCAGTCCCCTGTGTCATGTCTGGGAAAAAAAAAAAGATAAACCCCCGTGATCGGAACTCCCACTGCAACGCAACCAACCCTGAAACCCTCCCCCTCGGCATTCTGCCAGCAGGTCCAGTGCCCACGTCCGTGCGGTCCCACCGTGGGGTTCCAACGACACCCACTGGAAGGACGATCCTCCAGCAGTGGCACAACGGAATGCTTCATCGGCGGAAGTTCGGGGAAGTGCCCAGCTCACGAGCCCGTCGGATGGGACGACGAGCCACACCACCCCGTCGAACGTGACTGGATGACCAACTCATTCTACTTGCACTCCTTCATGGAGGATGCGAATTGGGGATCTCTATTTTTGGGGCGCTCGGCGCTTGGCCACCAAAGAGGGAAGCACCCCTTTCGTTGGCGTGAAACAGAAGGCGTGAAACCGCCCAGCACCAAGCCTCGAAGAAGAGTCGCCATAAGACCTGATGCGTTTCTGTGAGTCGCGAGATCCAATGCGTTTCTGGGTACCGCCAAGGATTCCAGTTCTGTTCTCAAACTCAAAGAACAACAGTAGTTTCTTGGGCTATTTGTTGGAAAGATCTTAGCTGAGGCACTTCTGCCTACAGTACTGGACCTCTGAACATTCCTCCAATATATATATATATATAATATATATATATATCCTTTAATACATTATATATATAACTGTATATATATATATGCTTCAGTTCCACAGGGCTCAGGGCCCCGGCTGGGATTCCGTTTGATTGGCCAGCCCGAGGAGTTGGCCACTCACCAAGACAACTATCCCTATCCAACAACTCTCCTGCAAGTTCCAACTCCGACTCCTGCAAGTTCCATTGCGAATCCGTTCTGTTGGACGGCAAATGGGTTGCAGTCACACACCCGTTAGCCTTTAGCCCCTCCCGACAACAGAGCCAATGGCGTGACTCGACTCATACTCATGACATCTCATAATCCAAGAGCCTGGTTTCAGCACCCAGCATAATGAAACATGTTTCTCCCTGTCACACTCATGGGGTGGGAAAGCGGTTTGTGAGTGTGTTTGTCTGATCGTCTGGTGGTCAGAGCTACAAGGCTTAAGCCCAAGCTCTGGATGTCGGCCTTCCAGTTTAAGTGGTCATAACCCTTGCCATGGCCTTCTCTCCTCATCTGTTAGGAAAAGAACAACACTCTTTCCAGCACTACCCAGTTTGGGTGTATAGACCCCTCTTGGCCGACTTATGTGTTCTTCGTCCCCCCGAAATCATCCCAAAAACCAGCCACGACTTCCGGCCACTCCCGCTCGAACCCATCCGTCGCTCGAACCCGCCCATGCCTTGCAGGTGATGGTCGCGGAGTGCCCGAAGAACAACGCGGCCGCCTGCAAACGCGGACGCGGACGCGGCCAACTCGCGGCGCGAAGGAGTTCGCGGGAAACCGCCGCGGAACCGCCCGTGGTTGGGGTGGACGAAGCTCGCAGCGCTTCGGAAAGGTCGTCATTCGGTCGTCCAGATCAGTCATGCCTGGGAGTACTTTCACCTCCTCGGATCCAAGGTGGTCCGGTGTTGTCTCACCCCTTCGGGTGAGTTTCAATGTGTTTCAACACAAGGACTTGGGACCCCTGGTCGGAGCTTGATGAGGAAACATTGACTTGAGTATTGTATATGCATACGCATGTTCCATCAATCATGTGTCTTTGATTTCTTGGTGAAACGTCCTATAGTAGGCAGATGCCAACTGTGAACATGCTCACTTCATCTCACTTCTATGCTCCAAAGACTCCAAGGCACTCTCCAAGGCCTCTTTTCAAAAAAACACTTGATGAACATGTTTACAGTAGAAAATAACACTTTCAGGGGGCTATTGGACGAGTGGGGTCGTGGTTTTGGACCGGAGACCAAGGCACCTGGACCTTGCACGAGACTGGCCATGACCCGGTTGGAACACCCAGGGCTCCGGCTAAGACCAGCAGGAGGAACGAACCTTCTTCAGCCCAGGCGGATTCGGCGACGACCGGCAGATTGGTCGGACCACAGAGGGCGGAGACGGGTCGGCATCCGAACGAAGAACCAGCGAGGCACGGCTCCGAACGCTCCATGTACTGTTTGGCATAAAAAATATAATATATATATATATATAGACCTACACAACCGCCCCAAGTCAACCACCCCAACTGATCCAAAAAATGGCATATACCAGGACCTTCCAACAGGTGGTTTTTGGACACCCCGAACCAGCTCTAAGAGGCTATTTATAGACACCTCTTGGAAGGTCCTGCTTGGCTGGGCCGTGCACAGAGTCTCTATGATTGGAGGTCGGGGCGGAGCTGATTCTTGGCTCAGTCTTTCCGGTTCACTGAAGCAGTATATAGATGAGCAAAGGAAGTCCCTGATCTTCCAATTCTCTGCGAAGCTTAAGTGAAAAATCTTAGGAACTGGCAGATCCCAAACATCTTAAAACGACAAAAAGCGCCGTCTTCTCTCAGATTGCTTCAGATGACCTTTCTGGGGCGCCCAAGGAAGGCAAACAAACTGGCCATGAGAGGGTGGAGGCCATCCTTCAGAAGTAGATGTTCTACAATGCTGTACTCTGACCACTTCAATTCGATTGCCTCTCATCAAATCAAGACTGGGTGATGTGACATATTCCGCATCCTACTGTTCCCAAGTGCCTGGGTGTTCGACCAATTCAAAGCGCCCAACTTCAAATCGTCCAGTCCCAAGAAACCATCACCTCCCGTGAGTCTTTATGCAATGAATGGATGCAGAATATCTACAAATATCTATCTACGACCTACTCTTTTGCTCCAAAGCAATCCTTCTGATGGCTCAAAGTTCCGCGCGCTGATGGCACATGGGCTGGGGAGACGCAGAACCGGACGCTGGGGAGTTGCTGAAGCTGGCGAGCAGCTGGCTGAAGCTGGGGAGCCTTCTGGGCTCCTGCTCCATGTCCTCAAGATCGGTGGGGACCTTGGCTGTGGTGCTTTTCGCCACTAAGCCTTGGGCAAGGAAGGCATCTGGTCCAATGTAGGTCGCCGAGTCAGGGATGGTGATGTATTCCAACGAGCTGCAGTTCATGAAGGCACCGCCCTCATTCCAGGTCGCTGAGAGGGGAATGGTCACACTTGCCAAAGAACTGCATTTCATGGTAAAGGGAATGGTCACAAAGAAGGGCATCGGCCACACGTGCCGTTCAGAACCATCCCCGGTCACGGGTCAGGGATGGCCACACCGAGACGACCAAGCAGACCTGCACGTCTCGATCGGCCGTGCGCCAAGGTGAGTCAGAGTCACCCACCGACATGGACAGAGTTGCCAAAGAGCCACAGACACAAAGGATCCTCGGTTGGGATGTCAGCCACCAAAGATCTCAAAACGGGCATACGGTGCCCGTATGTGAGGGCATGTCACTGCATTCTCTTCCGAGGCAATTGTCAGTGACAGTGGTCTTGAAAATCATGAATGTATATAGTGACATCCTCTCATATCCTCTCACTTCCGAATCTCCAGAAAGGCCCGCCTCCTCAAGAGATTGATCATCTTCCAACAGACTCTCTCCCACGATCAGATGCATGCGAGTATTTGTGCGTCCCTAAGTAGTTACCAGGAGTTCCAGAAGGGTGTGTTTTTGTCCCTAAGTAAGTGGATCATGGGCAACCCTATTCTCCGACATGGAACTGCTGGTATAAAGTGTTTATAAGCCTGGTCATCTTGCTTAGACACATTGCGATCATTGCCTTTCTTTCACACTGGGGGGCGACAATAACAAGTCCTGCGACACCGCGACACCACAGGATGTGATCCTCGCATCTGAAGGGAATATAGGGCCCTTGCCACCCAATGTTGATCGAACAAGTACTTCTACCTGGATCATCCTGTCTGGATCGCCAGACTGCACTACAGGTCGAAACCCAGACAGAACACGACAGGATGATCCTGGTATGTACGTCTCCTCTACCCAAAAAATGGTCCTGAGAGTAGCGAAGAAATCATGAATACATCGCGTGACGGCGATTGGAGAGACCCTGTCTGAATTCCCACTTTGGTGAGCTTGTGAGCTGCCCCACCCGACCCCGTCAGCCCAGCAAGTCCAGCAAGTCGTCTGTAGGTCTACAGACCGTCGGTCTGGAGACCCTGGGTGGTTTGTATGAGGTGGAACTGGCATGACTCTGGAACAGGTTCTTCTGATTGATGTAGAAGTCACTCGACTTGCTGGGTCACCTGTACCAAAACCGTCCAAAGATAGTGATGGAAGCGAAGCATCACTGAGGGCATATAGATAGTGTGCAGGTCTCTCAAAAAAAAAAACAGCGGCTGATCAAATGAATCACTCGAGTCACTCGACAGCTGATCAAATGAATCGGTACCAAGTAGCGATAGTTGCCCAAACCCACACAATTTCCTGCGGCAGTGTGTGGCGGCAGTCATTTTCTTGGAGAAACACTGGTGATATCATTCTTCCTATCTTCCTGGCTGACTTATCTAAAAAAGAGCCAAGAATGAAAACTCTGGAGAAGCCAAATATGCTTCTTTACGGTTCTTCACATGAACGTCATGAGTATTCCGCCCCTCTTCTTTTTGATACAGTGGTTTCAGAGGTTCGATGGCACAGGAAAGAAGAAAAGACGAAACCCTAACCCTACGAGTCCAGTCGGACCACCGGCTCCAGTCAAACGAGGTCCGTAGGAATCTGTAGGGCAATCCCTGAGAGTCCAGTCATGACTCATGAACTACCCCCATGGTAGTGGTGGATTATGACTACCAGGTGGAGTAAAATGAGTCAAAACAGAAGTTCTGGGACTGTAGGGAAAGCTACTCCATCACCGGAAGCCACGAAGCAGCCTGTCGCTGCAAGGTGTCGACCATTCCATTCCTGCACTTCGTCGCGAGCTTTGGCATTCGCTGCGGGCGGTCCTAACCAAGTGCAATGATGGT